GGCTTTTACAACCAAGTTTTCGAGTTTTGTGATATTCCGGTAGACTAGTCTCCCCCTTGTATACACTAACAATCCCTTCGACCATGGTCCATGTCGTCCAAGTCCATACTTCAATCCATGGCACCAGCTGGATCCCCTAAGAGAGTAAGAGGGTACTGGTGTAGTAGCTTGGAGTAGCTTGGAGTAGCTTGGAGAATCCTGCCGATCTTGTCAACTTAGCATCTGGGAACGGACCAGATCGTGAACCCGTCTCCCCGTGAGTGTCCGGGCTATCGAGATCGGCGATTTGCGGGCATTGATCCACTACGCTAACTCCCCCTCAGCACTAACCATTCTGAGTGCGCTAACCGACTGCACTAAGGCCCCCTCCGAGGAAGCAAGAGAAGGAGGGGGGAACTTGGAAAGGTATTCACCAGTACGCTAAACTACTGGTGTCCGCGAGTCTCCGCAGCGGTAACAACGGATTTCAATCAACCGTACGGAGTATAGTTACGAAGACAGTAAGTAAAATATAAGTGTACAGTATGTACGGGCGGGCACTAAACCTAACGGGAGATGGAAACATTGAGCAATCTTTCATCCTCGACTCTCCCCATTGGACCGCGACTTTGCAGAGACCTCGCCCTCCTACCTGTTGTGGCACCTCAATCCCCGTACACCGAGGGTCACCGGGGTCACCGGGGCCTTCGGGGCCTTCGGGGGTGGAGATGATCAGATAAACGTCGCGAACGCAACCGGGCATACAATATGCTCTTTTCACCGCTTGTTGCGGATATTCTTACTCTTCCCGAAGGTATAATCCTTCAATGGCATCATCGTTCGTTGCTTCCCAAATCCTCGCTCAATAGGGTGTAGTTTACCTCCTCTTCCGAGAGTTTCTCGTTCACAACTGCAGGCATCTCGATTCCCGCCGCCGCTGAAAGCAGATCTTTCGGGGGAAGGAAAGCTCGAGGGCTCAAGCCCGGCCCTCAGAGACCTGGCTTACCCTAGCTCAACCGCATTACTGCACACACTCGGTGACCGTGGCCCGGGGGTGGTAGGGTAGATACAATAACCTGCCCTAGCGAACTCGACTCGAGCATAGCGGGTGGGCGGGCCTCCCTCTCCTCCCCGGCTCCTCGTACTTTTGACACGGGTGATCCAAATTTTGGTACCGAGCAGGGGACGGTTGCATGGACACGGACTACAGGAAAACGTGCTCCTGCTCGGTCGACATATCATTTTTGCTTTGCGCCGCTTGCCCCCTCCCCCCAAGCCCTCAGGCCCAGGGCAAAAAAACCATCGAACTAGCGCCGCAATCCTATCGGATCCCGAAGAGTCCCCGGAGTCTTTAGCCTTAAGTTGCGGAGCGTGGCGGGTATACGCATCCCCCGAAACGAGGAGTAGTGATTCAGGATCACCATTGCCGAAAGCAACACGAGGGCTGGGCTGAGAGGGGCCAGACGGGGCCAGAAGAAGCCCACCATATCATCGCTGTGATTTAGCTTATAGGGTCAGTGCACTGCGGGCGGAAGGGAGGGTCGTGGTTTGACTGTTTCTGCACGCTATGCACACCATAATTACCTTTCAAGGGAAATCAAGCGGGGATTGGAGGTGAGGAGGGGAAAGAGTCACCTCCCGTTCGAAGCTATCAACTGTCAACTGGGGGAGGCGATACGGAGCTTTGACCTGAGCTGACTGGAAATCATCGACCCTCCAGACCATGAGCTGGCGGCAGATCGGCGAAAGGGGAAACTGGCTCTGTTCCAGATTTGGGGGTGGCTTGACAGGGGGAAATCAATATCTCTGATGGAGGGTGGTTGCTGGCTATCAATGCCTTGATGTTCTGCCAGCCTCGTTACAAAGTAATTGAAGTGTCGGGGTTTGGGGGATTTTGTTAAATGCAAGAAAAAGAAATGCCAGCAACTGGACACCAAAGGAGGAAAATCACTGGCAAGACAAAGAAATTCAACTAGCAAGGATTGTCGTGCATCGGCTTCGCATGTACAGAAGGAGATATCCCAAGATGGGGAAGATGCCAGGTTTGGGACCGGCATCGACTCACACGCGGAATGGCAAAAGGGCATCTGGGACCGATAAGGATATGGGCCTGCATCTAGTTTAGTTAGTTCTCATACTATAAGCGTGGCATTCTATATACCGGGTGTTTCATTGGTCCGGTCGCAATTAATCCATGCATGTCGCATATCGCTCGAGGGCTCCGTGGCTGGCCTTTTTTCCTTTTTGACCCTGTTGGGTTGCATGCTCGAGATTAAAGTCCAAGGCAGTTAGGCGACAAAAAAAAGTCAATTTATGAAAAAAAAAAATGGTTCATTGGGGTTGAACTCTTTTTTTTTGAGAACAAGTCGTCCACCCCGAGGGTGGCAATGAATAGTGAGGTACATGCAGTAGGTCATAGTACCGTACGTATGCAACTCTAGTCCGGTTTGATATGCCAGGCGATCTAGAACTTTTCGTTTGCCATTTTAGGATGCTCGTGAAGCGAACAAAGAGACAGAAATCGGGCAATGAAAATTGAATGGGGATAATCATAACAATATGGGCCGGTCGCTGCAAGGGCCATACAGAGTATCAAGAAGGAATTGGGTAGAGAGAAAGAACAGAAAGGAAATAGGAAAAGCCTTGTATCCGCAAAAACTGATCAAAGGTAAAAGAAACATATCCATCAACCTTCCCCTCGTACTGTCCCTGGCGGCCGATGTGCAAATTCATCGGCCCTTTCTTCAACTCGACGAGCTCCCTCGTGGACTCGGGTCACACTGCACTCGGGAGCGCACCAGGGGGCACGGAGGAATCGAAATCACAGTAAGCAAACTGTGCATGCGCGGCCCCCGAAAGAGTTCGTTCACAGCCCAGTGATCAGTTCCTTCCTCGATAGATCCTGTGAATTTTGTTGAGACCCCCAGTTTTGATGAACTTGATCGTCCGTGCGGAGAGAGCTTCTCTTTGCCGTCCAACCACACTGGATGCCCGTGGCGTCTTACGGGGAGCTGCAACCCAGAACTTCCCCGTACCTGTCAGCATGGAGCTACAGGGGGTGAAGATCATGCTGACTCCGACCACGGGCCACAACCCAATGCGATTGAGATTGACTCGTCAATTCACACGAGGGTGATGACGGCCAAGGATTGTGATGAGATTCTTTAACGCTTCACAATAGACACTATAACCGAAAAGGTCAGCTTCCATCTGGGGCTAGAGGTATCGACTGTTGGATGGCAGGGGGAGAACGTACCGATATCCTCGTCAGCGAGCTCGTGCGCAAGGCCGACTCGTTGCGGCTGGTGCTTGACGGAGCGGCCATACACAATGGCATGCTTAAACTGGTCCTTGATCGTTCGGTGAATGGCATTACACTGTCACTAGTTAGCGTAGTCCAACTGGAAGTGGCGGATAGAGATATGCATACGAAGTCCTCCACGGTACATCCTGAAGCACGAAGCACAACGGGTGCTGTATAGTCGGGAGCACGTCCCTTGGGCTTGGTATAGATTCGTCGCAGGTTGAGCTTCTCCCACATCATTTCCAGAAGCTCGTCGATGTTCCAGCCGTGCTCTGAACTGATAGGAACGGCGTTGGGAATTCGGTATAGAAGGTCCAGCTCCTCAATGGAGATGGCATCGATCTTGTTGAGCGCATAGACGACGGGAATATAAGCCCGGCTCTTAGCTTCCAGGACATCGATCAAATCATCAATAGTCGCATCACAACGAATGGAGATATCAGCGGACGAGATCTTGTACTCGTTCATCACAGCTTTGATTTCCTGGAAAAAGAAATTAGTCACGGTTTGAAAAGCGCCAGAATGTCTAATTCTCACCTCCTGCGAGATGTTAGTCAAAGGCATAGTGCTCGTGATCGCAATACCGCCCTTGTCCTTCTTCTTAAAGACAATGTTGGGAGGCGACTTGTTGATACGAATACCGAAACCCTCCAATTCATTCTCAATGACACGCTTATCGACCAAAGGCTTGTTCACGTCAAGAACGATGAAGATCAGATGGCAAGTCTTGGCCACAGCAATGACCTGACGACCACGACCCTTACCATCCTTTGCACCTTGGATAATACCAGGGAGATCGAGAATCTGAATCTTGGCACCGTTGTACATCACCTGTCCGGGAACAGTCGTAAGGGTCGTGAACTCGTAAGCGGCAGCTATGTGATGATATCAGTCATTGATCAATGCAAAAGCAGTTCTTCCAGGAACACACCTTCCGAATGCTGGCCTGTCAACTTGCTCATAAGAGTACTCTTGCCGACGGAGGGGAAACCAATGAAGCCACTATATCCACCATGAGCATCCTGCCTTGTTTAATATCGTCGATTCCTCGTCGGGTTTGACTTACACACTGGCAACACCAGTACGCGCAACATCGAAACCGGCTATAGAAGATTCGAGATTAGAGATTGAACGAGAAACCATGGAGTTTAGAAATTGAAGAGTACTTACCACCACCGCCACCACCACCTCCAGAGGGGGTCAGCAGCTCTCGCTTGAGCTTCGCAAGCTTTGCCTTCAGTTGTCCTTCACTGATTGTCAGCCCTGGTCACTTTATTCGGTCTCAAGGGTTTTTAGTGTTCGCGGGGTAGGCGTACCCAAATGGAAGGAGGTGTTTTTGTTCTTCTGAGTCCGAGCCATCTCGGACTCGATCTCCTTGATCTATACACAGCCATGTCTTCATTAGCGACTGTCTGCAATGCGATTTTGGGTTTGAACGAGCAGAGCGAGTTTGCGCACTAACCTTCTCAATGGTGGTCGACATTTTGGCGGTTGAAATAGGAACCGTTGGGGGAGAAATTCAGTGTTCTATTTCCACAGGGTCCAGGAAACGCTCGAGTTTTTCAGTCTCCCTCGTCGTGTAGCAGGACAACTTCGCAGCGAAAGCGATAAAATTGGCGGAGAAACAATCTTTGAAGTGTGGCACACTTTCTTAGTCAGGGCGGGGTGTTGGCCTGAGGCATTACGCTATGTCATTTCATGCCTGACTTTTCAGGGAGTGCTGTCAAGCCTCAGGCCACAATATCCTTCTTATCGTCTCTAGATTTGGCAGGAGCCGAAAAGATGGCAACCGAACACATTCTCCCCTCAAGTCGTTCAATCTCGCCATTCCGAAGCTCGATGGTCAATCGCATCTGGGTTACCTTTGTGTGACATGGCGATGCTGGCACGCTTGAACAGCAACCCTTGATCTCGTCCGGGAGTAGTGCATAAAGAGCAGCGCTCTTCCCATCTCAAGTTATCGGCATCCGAGCCAAAGTCCGATAACGGGCCTATTTGACCGCCTCGCCATTCGCGCTTGTTGTCTTAACGTCAAGAGAGGCCAACAAAATCTGATACCAGAATCTCACTCTCACAATGCCGTTCATTCAGAACGAGTCTGATTCGCCCAGCCAGTCTGAAAAGACCTTGGCCTTCGAACAACTCGTCAAGGACCTCAGTGCTGTTCTTGGGCCCGAGTCTGGCCTTGACTCTGATGACGTTGACCCCATAAACATTCAGCTGTTGATGGAGCGATACGTCTCGGATGAGGGGGAGTGGGGACCATATGCACTGGGAGATTCCAGCCGTGGCTATACGAGAAATCTAATTGATGAGGGAAATGGCAAGAGCAACCTGGTGAGTTGATATTCATCCTCGACCTTCACTTGATTCTGTGTGTGCCAAATCCACTTGCTGACTGTGTACACCGTCAGCTCCTCCTCGTCTGGAGCCCTGGAAAGAGTAGTGCGATTCATGATCATGCAAATGCACATTGTGTGATGAAGGTATCGTCAACCTCAAAGGACTTGAAACAAAGGACTCACACGCTGATTCGATTGACAGATACTCAAGGGAAAGCTCAAGGAGACACTCTATTCCTGGCCAGATAAGAAGAAGATTGAGCAAGGAGAGACTTCTCCACCACAAGTCACTCGGGAGACTGTCTTCGAAGAGAATCAAGTCACTTACATGTCTGATAAAGTAAGTTATCAGTCTCTGTGTTAGTGTCCATGACAATGCTGACTGGTCAATACAGCTCGGTCTTCATAGAATTTCCAACCCTGACCCAGACGACTTTGCTATTTCACTACATCGTGAGCCCGAGTCTCGATCTTCAGTTGCGTTATCTCTTGATATTGACTGATTCCTAGTTTACACACCTCCTAATGCTGCAAATTACGGATTCTCACTCTTCGACGAGAAGACTGGCAAGTCCGTTCACATCAAGCAAACCAACTTTTACTCTGTCCGCGGTACACAGCTCAATGATGGACAGCAGTTGTAAGCTCCGGTTGCATTTGTTAATGTCAATTCTATGCATTCACTCAGCCTGAAGATATTCCCTCTTCACTCATCCCTAAGTCATCCCCACATCCTCACCTGCCTTGGTTATTGTCTCAACCAGCGTCCTTGATGGAAGAGCTTCTGGTGCACTCGCTGTGTTGAGCGTCTTTCCTAGATTGTGGGGTTCGAGTTTGCGATTCTCTATGCCCCCCTTCCCTTTATTTTCACGTCCCTATTATTAGTGATTAGCGCATCACCAAAGCCATTATTAACGATTGAATGACAACTATCGATCAGGCAGATCGCCTACTGTAGTCGCTACTTTCCTGAAAAAGTCATGGAACGATGAAGCCCGCAGCCCCTCCCAAACTGGGTGCAGAATAAATCTTGATAACATGGGAATTGAGGGGTAAAGGTGGCTGATGGCGATTCTTCATGCAAGATTCGAAGATACAATGACCCGAAACAAATTGAGTTTGACCAGGGCGCATATAGCTCAATCAACAATTGAGGCGCCTCGACCGCATTTCGTGAGACAAAAATCTCGTGTCCAGCCCCGCTGTATAGGGAATCGTACGTTGTTGTCCAGGGGTCTAGAAAACGCCATCAGAGTCTGCCGTGCTCCGTCTTCTCTTTACGCAGAATGCAACATGAGCGCTTTAGTGGTGGGTTGTGGAAATCCCGAAGCACGATCCCTGTCATTAGTTGGGCCGTGATATCAATCAAGGACGGCTATTGGAATTATTTCATGTTCAGGACCAATTTATTTGTGTTTGAAGACAGTTCCAGAAGAAAGATTCATTAACCAGTAATGTGAAATTGTATGTCTAGCCTCTACTCCATAGAAACGCATGCCATGCAAAACAAACCCAAGCTGTTTATATGCAAACATGCAAATCGTGCATAAAAAAACGCGTGTTAAAAAAATTTATACATGCAAACATAAAACACTCGCTTCTTCTTAAGAAGCGGAGCAGCTAAAGCTAGCGCTGCCGGTGTCATCGTGAATAGCCGTGCCAGAGGCATACAGACCCAGCACGCACAGCGCAAGACCGAACAGGACAATGGCCATGTTCAGAATGGTCAAGGCAATCTTGCGCGGAGAGGCGAACCACTGGCCGGCGTTCAGGTGCAGCCAGTACACACCGGACAGACCGTAGCTGAACCAGGAAGCGAAAAGGGCACTGATGAGGGAGTTCAGGTCGCTGAAGACGGGGATAGCCTCGGCGATGATCCAGGCGACGACCCAGCAGGAGACGCCGAGTCCGAGCCAGAGACCGACAGACTTCCAGTTGTTCTGGTGCATGAGGTCGGACTTGGCGGTGAGGCGGAAGTAGATGTACTTCAGGCCGATATGGCCATTGACGACGCCGGCGCCGACGATGGTAGGGATGGCGATACCGAAGGCGACCTTCTTCATGATAGGGCCGGCTGAGATCAGGGCGGGAGACTCGACGCCCGTGCCAACGTAGTAGTAGATGACGACGGCGGCGGTCAGGTACAGGCAAATTTCGAAGCCCTGCAGCATGAAGAGGGACTTCTTGAAGTCCTTGGGGGTCTCCATCTCGGCGATCAGACCGAAGAAGGCGACGTGGGCGCAGTAGGCGAAGACGATGTTGGAGACGGCCTGGAATGCGGTGTACAGGTTGGTCTCGACGGTAGCTTCGATGACGCGGCCCGGGTGCTCCTCCACACCGACGGCGATCATGGTGATCATGACGGCGCTGAAGATGGAAAGGAAGGAGGCGAAGGAGATCCAGGTCATGCCACGCATGGTGCGAGGGGCGGACAGGACGAGGGAGATAAGCATGCCGACCAGACTGAAAACGATGGAGCAAGTGCCGTTATCGGTGATGGTGTTCATCATGACGCGGAAGGTCAAGATGTGACTGCCCATGACGAAGATGCAGAAGAGGAATTGACCGGTTCCGAAGAGCTCACGGCCGAAGCGGCCAAGCAGAATTTCACCGGCATCACCCAGATTCTGGATGTGCGGGTAACGCTCACGCATCAGGCCAATGTTATATCCAGTATAAGTGGCCAGTAGACCTAGGCCAATGATAAGAATCACACCACTGGAGAAGCAGATATGTTAGCTAGACGGTCCTTTTTGTCTAAGATTCATAGAGTGGGGATACTCACGGCACAAGGCCCAGCGTAGCCACAGCAGAGGGCAATGACAGAACACCCAGCGAGACAGACTCGCAAATCATGAGCAGACCACATTGCCACCACTTCAGAGTCTTGTACTTGATCTCGGCATATTCTTCGTTACCAAAGGCATCGGCCACCTCGCCGTGCTTAAGGCCACCCTCCTCTTCGAAGTTGGCCGAGTGCTTCTGCTCGCCAATCTTGTCATTCTGATAGGCCGGAGGCTGGGGTGTGACGGTCTCCATGTTTGACATGATGATACTCGGATCAATGGCAACAGCGAATCAAACAAATGATGAAATAATGTTAATGCTGAGCCGGTCGTTGAGGATTCGAGCTCACAGTCTTTGTGGAAGGTCGTTACTCTCCACCTATAAGAAGACCCAGAAACTAGAAACGAAATAGAAAACGAGGAGAAGAAGGAGAAAGAGGAGTCGTGAAGAGAGAAAAGAACGGGGGGACTGGGGTATTCAATTAATAACAGAAATCCTGCCAGCCTGCCAAATTAAGTTTCGGTATCCCCCATTCTCCGCAGGGCCGATGTTGCCCCGTGGGAGGCAAATCTGCACCAAATCTGCACCGAACGTCCCATGGAAGACCCGCCGAACATTCCGTGGAAATCCTTGATTGGCGGGCAGTTTGTCACTCGGGCCGAACTTCGGATTGTTGGCCAATAAGCTCTCCGGAAGGGGGACTATAATGGGGCGATGGAGAACATGTAGGTAATGAAAAAGGTCACCTACATGACTAACGAGGTTGCTTTTGTCGCAGACTTGGTGGACTCTAGCGGATCCCCTAAGCCCATACCAAGACCGATTCGACCTTTGTAGTTAGGTCGTACGATGCTGGGGCGGGGGAGGGGGGTCTATACGATGCATGTCTTTGGATGAAGCCCCAACGGATCACCATTATCTCTCGGAGGACTGGTCAGACTCCCCGGTATGGGGAGTCGTCCACGTGTTTTAGACTTTCCGAGCCTCCCGTGACTGATTTCATTCGAAGAAGTGGGCAACTTGCCCGTCATCCATGTGGCAACATGTTCGACAGATGACAGCCTTAGTTAACGGCGTCAAAATTCTGACTGACAAGCAACAAAATGTAAATGCGGCTGAACGTTCCTCCCCTCAAGCCTCAAACCCATCATCAAGCCACAAATAAGAAAAACTTTGTCAAAAGCCACGCGTACACGGCTCAACAGTCCCGAGCCAGGGGCCTTTACCAATCTTGAGCTTGAGGACCTTTTCAAAGTTTAGGGGCCTTTACCAATCTTGAGCTTGAGGACCTTTTCAAAGTTTAGGGTTGCCGCTATGCTGAGGTCACGAGACCTGCCACCGAGAACAGAACACGCAGAAGGAGAAAAAACTTTACCCAAAACTCAGCCACCAACAAGCCGTCCAAGTCCAGGCACAAGAAGTTAAATGAAAAAAAAAAAAAAAAGAGAGAATCTTAATAATAAGGTCCACCGGGCAAATTCCGAGATTTTACGACGTTCACATTGGCTACGTAGTCGGTCTCGAATCGGGGCACCTTTTTTCTCTCACCGGTTCGCCACACCGATTTTAGGTTGATTTTAGGCGTAGATAAGCATCTTCCTAAAATTTCTTCCCGACCCGCTCATTGGCTTTGGCCCTCGCATGGCTAATCCTTCCGGCGCCCCTCGACACGCTAATTCACCCTATCGGGCGAAGAACGCGACGCGGCCTGGCCTCTTGAGGGAACAGTTATCTTCCTAGCGGGTTGATTTTGAGTATGGGACTTATAGCCGACCGACGGGCGGGTTCATGCTCGGTGTGTATGGTCGGCAATTGAGATAAGCGTGCATGGAGAGAGGAGAACGAATCCACATTCGAATATCGAAATTGAGAGTAAATATAGTGACGTAAAAAGCAGTGGAGTCTTATGACTCGTGTAGCGAGAAGGACAAAAATTCATTGTGGACGAGCTGATGCATATGCAATGTACAAAATGCAAAAGGTAGGACATATGCAAAGACTCCCAAGTGCTTCAAACAAGCAGAGAAGAATGAAATCACGAATTTCTTTTCCTTTACAAAATGAACAAAGAGGGAAAAGGCGAATAAGATCAAGAGGTTCTCCGCTAAATCATCGCCAAGAAAACGATAATCAAACTTCCACATAAGGAAACCTAGCACGTTCCTCCCCTGGCCCTTGCTAGGCCACGACGCACGTCGCAGTAGTAGCTACAACCCCAGGGAACCGATCATTAGTGGTGTTCTTCGCAGCAGAAGCGATAAAAATATAGACACGGGTGACGTCTATCCTCGCCCTACCGACGAAGACCCAGACCTGCTCGCAACTGCAGCAAGCCGCTCATCCAATCGCTCGGGATGCTCCAACACCTCGGACTGCCGGCGGCGCAGTTCTTCCAGACTGGCCAGGGGATTCTGTAGACCGCCACAATAAGTACGTTGCTCGGAGGACTTGTGAAAACGCATCAACCGTGACACCCACCCATTCCTGCTGGCTCGGGACCCCCTCGGCAGCAGGGAGGGCGGCCGTACCGGAAGCATCATTCACGTCGACGTCGCCGCTGATGGCCCTATTGCGCTGGATCGGCGCGGGTGTCACCGGGAGACTGGGACGCTCGATTTCTGTGGGGAAATCGGTGAGGATGATGCTGGGCCGGTGGCCGGAGGGGGGTCCTGTGATGGTCGTTGCGGGAGAGCTTGTGAGATCCTGGCTGGACCGTGTGCTCGTGCTTGGGTGGCTGGAACCGGATATCACCTGTGTGCGGGCATGCCGCACTTGCTGGATCGATTCGATGTAGCGTTGGATGTCGGGGTCTTCGTCCCATGCGTTGGAACGATTGTAAGACTCCCAGGTCTCAGCAGAGGGCTCGAAGGGGGCTCGGAATGGTAAGAATTCGGATGGCACTGATGGCTCGGTGGGCAACACTGGCAGGGTTTCTTCTGGTGGTGAGGCTAGAGGAACGGGTTGTTCGGGGGCAAAGACACGGGTAGGTTTGGGGGCATGCGTTTCCCAGGGGAATAATGGCGTGACTCGCTGTGGCTCTGGCTTTGTCGGGGGAACTTGATAGTACATGTTCTTCGGTGCCTCGGGGTAAGACGGGGGTGGTTGGAACAGCGTAGTGTCTTCGGACATGGTGTATGTTTGGTGTTTGAAGTTGGCTCCTTCTGGCCTGGAGTGCAGCGGTGGTGGTTCTCTTTGAAGTATAAGCAGCTAACCCTTGAAGTAACGTATGCAAAAAAAAAAAAAAAAAAAAAAAAAATTGTATCCTTACCGTGAGGCATCCCATTCGGACCTTGGCGCCTCGAAAGATGGGACCTCTGGCTCCGGGGGAGGAGAGGGTTGGCGTGGCTCGTTCACCGATCTTGGGGGTGCTACAGGCTGTGGGTGATGAATTGGCGGTTCCGAGCTTGGCTGTGGCGCATGGTGCTGGTAGTGCTGGTGTTGCTGATACTCTGGAGGAGCTTCAGGTTGTTGGTGATGAATGTGCTGGTCTCTCTGAACCTGGAAAGCCGGTATCTGGGTATTTGGCAATGGCGCAATGTATGTCGAAACGTGCTCTTCTCCACGCACATACTGCGGGACTGCACTCAGTATGGGTATGACTGGAGGAGTGCTCTCCTGGGCTATCTGATGGGCATCATAAGTAGCTTCTTGGTGACCAGCATCTTGCTCCCAGGTGGTATCTTGTGTTTGTTGATCACTCGATACGATCTCTGGTATGTCTGAGTGAGTGTGAGCAGCCTCACCATGGAACTCGGCGGTGCCATGTTCGCCAGATCGAGCACGTTGAGGCTCTGCCCTCTGCTCAACGTATGTCTCCCCAACTTGTTCCTCAAAATGGACCCTCTTCGAAGTATGACTTGATCCTTGCCGGTGGTGATGATGGGCTGCCGGGTCTCGTGGCGGAATGGGCACACCACTCTCTCGCAAAGGAACGGATACCTAAAAACTGATTAGTCTCAATTAACCCAAAGCCTGCTCTCAAGACTCACGAATGGCGGCCGATAATGCCTATCATAAATTGACCACCACCGTGCCAGCAACTGATTATACGGCGACTCTAGCGGCACCACTTGTCGCGGCAACGTCCACGGCTTTTGCGCCCCAATAAAGTGAATCAGGCTGATCGAACCCTGGAAATGCTTATACGCAGGGATGTACTGGTAATTTGCACTGGGTGTACAGTTATACGTGAAGCTCAACCTATGCCAGTCCTGGAAATGCATGTTGAGTAGGCCTTGGTCTGCACCATCGAAGCTAATGCCTCGATCCGCCAGCGCCTTCAGTGCATAGTAATCCTGCAGGTTAGGTCTTAGCACCATCAGCCCACTGTTGAAGCAATCTGGCCAGCCGACATCGGGCGCCGCTGCAAAGTTGACTTCGAGGGCAAGCAATTCGTCCGGAGCGCGAACGGCCACGATGTCGCAGTCGATGTACACGATTTTAGTGAACTGAGTCAGACGCCAAAGCTCGATTTTTGTAAACGTCGCGATGAGATCCGGGCGGTCCATCAGCCAGAGGTTTGCGGGTGTCCCGTTTACCAGGGAGGATACTGGGATCAGTTCATCGTAGACGGTCTTTGGTAGTATCGCAGGTTAGTCGCGCAAGCTTGGGAAGCACGCAATCCAGATGCTACACACCTTTAACTCGGCGATCGTTTCTTGTCGCAACCGATCCGGTGTGTAAAGGACGATCAACCTTGCCTTTGTGCCATTGTCGCGCAAAGAATGCGCCAGAACCATAGCACCTAGATCCGAGAATTAGACCAAAGCACCGACAAACGCACAATGGCACCAATTGCTCACCCGGCAAATATGAATCGCTTAACAAGAGCTACCAAACGAATCGCCATCAGTACATCCTCCCGTTCTGCATGCATGGCACCGTCTTCCAAAGAAAAGAAGGGTAGGGGGGACTCGAACCGTGCAGTAAACGGCACTCCGCTCGGACGCCATGACGTCCCTCAATAAAACCCGAGTCCGTCAACGGCCTCCTTCCCAGACAATCAGCGACGGAAAAGCCAACGCGACAGACGTCTCGGTCTTTTGCGGGAGAAAATAGCGAGGCGCGAAAGGATACCAGTCCGAAGCCTGTATTTATCGTCGTCGAGAGGGGGTGGGGGGTTACGCGCTGCTTTCCGCGACAATTCAGTCCGGACTGGCCCCGTCAACAAAGCGGACCCCGGGGGGACTGTGGTACCTGGATCGGGCGGTCGAGCGGACGAAAACGGTTGACGTTCACCAGCGCTGCATCATCCCCGTTGTGCAAGGTCAGGGGGGGATCTCCTTGATGAGGGTGGTCAAAGAAGGGGGCTGAGAAGAGAGAAGATTTCGAAAGGAAGAAAAAAACTTGAGAAGGAAAGGGTTGGAAAGGTTGGAAAGGCCGTCGAGTCGAAGGTTTGGGGAAAGCTAAGATGGAAGCTCCGAGAGCTTCGGCGGGGGTGGCGGAAGTACGCCAAGGTGGAGATTGCGAATTGAGGGGGTTTGGGACGACGGGAAGACAAAGTATGACAGGAGGTATTACTTGTTCCTATCTATGTATTCAAGTGAGTTCTTAGACCACTTACGACTTGTTTACGGTAGAACACCCCCCATCTCTTGAAGATCGTGAGGGGCTCTCACCGAATCCACTTGGGGCACGGAAGATCCGCCACTTGGTGTCCGACCCAAACAATGAACATCGGAGATTTTATTTTAATATGAATCCTGTTGAGATTCTTTCTCGGGACCTGTAGACTGTAGGCTGGTAACTGCATTGCGCTTGGGCTCCCATTGCTGTTTACATGAAACCAAGACTAAAGCGCTCGGGGGCCGGGATGTGGCCGGGGCGCGTCCGAATGATGCAGGACTCCACGGTCTGCAGTTTAGGTACTTAAAACCAGAAGAACCTCCGTAGCAAGAACTCGATATCAACCCGAAAGTGCACTGGAACGGATCATAGTGCAGCGACACAAAAACAAAAGAACTCGGGCGAATGACTCAATTCCACAACACCAACGGTAACACGCCGACCGCGTTTATCGCCGGGCAATGACCTTTGCGCTCGGATAGCACTCCTGAATAACGGCCCCGATATCGCCCTTCTCGCCGTGAATGGCCCATTCTACGGCCTTCACCATGGCAACCCGGCTCTCCTGCTCGATCGGAGTAAAGTGGCCCGACTCGGTCAGCATCACAACCTGGCTATCGGCAACCAAGTAATCGGCCATGCCATCCAGGCAAATCTGTGGGTTCAGCGCAATGTCCTTTTGACCCCAGAATACGGTCGAGCTCGCCTGCAGAGCACCGGGGGTGCCCTCATCCAGCAGACCGGCTCCGCTGTTCGAGCGCCGCAGCTCGTGGCCGCCAGCAATGCTGTGCAGATTGGCGACGGTCTCGACGGACTTGCGCCAGCGTGCGACGGATGCGCCATCGCGGTAATACCCGGCCATGTTGAGGATGTTGGCGAAATCATGAGTATACTTGATGGTACGCGGGTATGACTCGCCGCCGGCAGTCTGCGTCTTGGACTCGGCCAGGGACGGGCCCATGCTGCTGGCCATGGAGGTACCTTCATCGCTGGGGGTGAACTCGGCTCGCCCGTGAGAGCCCTTGTGAATGGCTGCCATGAAGGAGTAGTTGCCTCCCGTCAGAAAGTAAGTCACCAGCGCAGGAGGCAACTGCATGGCAAAGACGTAGCCGGACATCTTGAGTTGGCGGAACACGGGTCCCAGGGTTCGAAGGGCCTGGAGTAATGGGGTACGGGATGAGAGTGGAGTGGCTAGGGCAGTCTTGAACATTTTGGATGCTGAAGCAATGATCCGGCTAATGTTGGATCGAGCCAAGCTCATCTATGACGGGGAACGTAAGCATTCATACTGTTCGGGATCTTGTTAAGTGAAGCGTCAATGTAGAACATACCAATGGGCCATTAGACAAAATGAATCGATGTGCCAGTGATGGTGCCTCGGCTGCAAGTCGCATCGACAGCACGCATCCCCAGTCGTGAGCCATGATGATGACACGCTTCCTATTTGTCTCGGTACCCTGGTCAACACCATATTGCATGCGTAGGGTAATAATAAGCTCGGTGAGTTTCTCCAGGACGGCCGTAGCCGTGTATTTCTCCAGACTTTCCGTGCCACCATATCCGGGCAGGTCAATAGCAACAATATTGGCAGAACTCTGAAGAGATGGCGCGGTGGCGATATGACGCCAGATCGCCCAACTGTCGGGGAATCCATGAATGAAGATAACGAGAGGCCTGTCCGTTGCTAATGCCGACGGAGAGCCCGGGGCATCATTGCTCACGAAATGGAATTTGAACCCGCTTGGGAGCGTTAGAAAGTGGTGGGAGAGACCGCCATAGTCTTTAGAAAGGTTCCACAGGCGATCGCGAGCTATGGGTCCACCAGTGTGATCAGAAACGTTTCTTCTTGATGTGAACATGGCCCAGCTGCCAAAGGAAGATTCTTACCGAGTTGCAGCTCCAAATTCTGTCTTTCAGTGCGTTTCTTAAAAAACCTGCCCGCTCTAGTGGCTAAATAGCCATATAAGAAGATCGTAACGAGGCCATAGACGAATGCAAGCAGCCTGGCGATCGCTTTGGTGATGAAGTTACCCATGATGGAGCGAGGACCGGTCAAGTGCTCATCAGATGAACAGGGATAAGAGACGTAGGAGTCAGCACGGTAGAATTAATAGTGACAGAAATAATAATGGGGGCGCATTGACACGGTCTTCGGTATCCTAATACAACAAGCTCCGAGAGCTCCATTGGCGGGGACCTAGGAGCTTTTGCAGCGTTTCGTCACCCATCGAGTTCGGTTAGTCAGCCCACACGGGCCCGCTCTCGCAGCCCTAACCGCTTTTGGGAGCAGCAGAAGAGCATAAGGTATGATAAAGTTGTACAATCTGCAGCAGGGCAGAGTTATGCAGGTACCATAAACACAGGATATCGGTACTGAACTGGAAGACCATTCCGCGAGAAAAGGTGGTTGATAGAAATGCGTTTATAGGTATTTAAAGGACACGTTGAATGCAGTCTGGGGAGAACCCGTATAAGCCTCCCCACGGAGAACGCCAAACCCCTTCACACATGCAGGTTAGATCAAGTAGAAAAAAAAGGGGTCAGATCTATTGACAACAGATATGAGTCCGGCTAGTTCAATCAAATGACAGAAAATAAAAAGGGTATTAACACAGGGAGGGAACGATGCAAGGAGAGCGACATGTCAGGAATAATAAGCAGAGGAGCCAAACAGAAGGAAAAGGCCGTAATCTCGTCGAGGTCCCGCAGGATGCTGAATTGGGATTCAGCCAACTGGGCGGCGGGAAAATTAGGGTATATACAAGGGCGATATCTAAAATCGAACGAAGACGGACGATAGGTGCGACTCAAAGGGTGAAACCTATTTGATCACGCTTGTCGTCCACTAGACGGCCATACCTGGGAGAAAATCGATGTTAGCAAGGATATACATATCAGTATATCATGGGACAAACTTACTCCAGAAGGAGGCGGAAGAACCAGACCTCCAGGTCTTCATTCCTTAGTACTTGCTGTGCCCATTCCTGGCCCTGGGTAGCAATTAGAGGGGCAGCCTTCTTGCCCTCTTCTTCTGCGGTAAAGTACCGCATGCTCTCCACATATTCATCGCCCTTTAAACTGAGCGGCACATAGTGTACCCAAGGCTTGAGCCATTCATCATGCCACTCACGGAAAATGGCAATCTTGTAGACGAAGCTGTTGCTATGAAGGAAAGCATAGAAGCGACCACTGAAGGCATTTCCATCGATGTCGACCAGGTACTTGTGTGCCCATGCATCCTGTTGTCCGGCGGCTTTGACAACGTCGAAGTATTGTTCTTGTGCGTGGCAGTCGTCGGGGTCGCATTGGCCAATCATCGTAAACTTGACATCAAATGAATCCCGGTAGGAATCCCGGCTGGCATTCTGTGAGACCCAAGAGTTGTCTGGCTGTTGCGTGAGAACCTTGGTAGGTTCCAGCGAGTTAACGTTGTCCACGAACTGCTGGCGATGTTGACGGCGCCAGCCACCGGCACGTGAAAAGCCACCGGTTGTGGACCCACGCCAGTACATGCGGTCGGATTTGGCGCCCCAGCTATAGTCCTTGTAGCTGTCGTATGGAACCTTGTCCGCCCAGTACCAGGGACTGGGGTAGAGTATATCCTGGAAGCTAGAGATCTTGCTTTGCGAGAAGACCGGGAACAAATCGTGGACAACGTCGAAGGCATTCGGGCGATCGAAAAAGCCATACGTGTTTCGAAGGGAGGGAGTGTGGCAGATATCCGAGAAGGCGCTGGTATTGTAAATGAAGCCTAACTCGCCGTACGCGTAGGGAGCGTCATCGTCCGGGGCATCCTCTTCAAGAGATCTAGCAGGACTATCGACGGGGCAGGAAATCCGGGAGTTGGTCCAGGTCGGCTGATGGGCGAATCGGTTGAAGCGAGTTGTGCGCACTTCGTCGATGCGGTCGCCCTTGTTCAAGTCAGCGGCACGAGGCGACCACCCATTCGTCGCGGACTTTCGGCTAAAGGCAGCCGGAATGGCTTGGTCCGTCGCAGTCTGCACCAGACGCTGGAGGTCTTCACCGGGGATCACCACGCGGGGCTCGTCGTGGGTGTTGAAGACCAAGTCCATGTCTGGCAAGTACTTGACGAACTCCTTCATCATGCCGACCGTGGCCTCGCGCTGCCACTTGCGACCGTCCCCACCACCTTCCGTCAGAGTCACCTTGCCATCGCGAATCAGGAGCCCAATTACTGCATTGTCAAAGCCCAGTGTCTCTCGAGCGCGGGCGCGGATGACCGCCGGCTTGACAGCCCAGAATGGCAATAGGGAGTGATAGATTGAGTCGAATTCATCGACGAGTTTCACTCCTTTCGCTTGGGCGAACTGGAACCACTTGTCAAAATGCGGCGGCGGGTGCATCTTGTAGCGGCGCTGGTACTCCTGGACCGCCTCGGCCAGGGTTTTCGATTGTCCAGAGAGCACATGGTCGAACTGCTGCTGTGCATTCTGAATCAGGCTAGAGACCGGGTGCACCTGTTCCGGCGGGTAAAAGGAGGTTTGGTCCGAGTGGAGTTGAGGGTGTCTGATGCGCTCCGGGGGAGGGAGGTCTAACGGTTCATTTTGAGGAGTTGGCTCGGGACGGAGGAGGACCAGCGACAGGCACGCGAGGAGGACGATGGCGAGCAGGAGGATCAGACGTTGGGTGCGCATCCTGCCATTTGTGGGAGGCATGAGAACCAGGTGGAGAGGTTCAAGGGCCGAGGTGAGAAGGAGAGGGGGGAGGGGAGTGGACAAGGCAAAAAGGGTCTAAGGAGAGAGAGAGTACTCTATAGGGAAAGTGGTCTGGAGTCTTGGGGGCTATTATTAACTTGGCCTGGGCCTTTTTTTTGGGGCCCGCAAAGTAGACACGCTACATGCCAAGCCGTGCTGTACTATCCTACTTTTCTACGGAGTACATTGTGAGTATATCATTGTATGAATAAGAAGATACAATCATCCTTGTATCGTCGAAGTAATCCAATTCCAGGGGGAGGCAAATGTACCATGCAAAACTCTTCCATGGATGCAGTGGCAAATTATTAGCAAAGCGGCCATCCCGCAATAGCGTGTCTCCAGTAAGGTAAGTGACCACCACATTTATCATTGATCTAAGCATTTACCACTGATGATACCCCGACAACTACAAGCTCGTTCCTTTCATCTCCGAAATTCAAAGAAAAAAAATTCAAAATTGAACTATATCCGAGATCTACAAACTGCAAATTCGAATAAACATCAGTAGCCTGTCCGTTTTTGTGTAGAGCAAATGCCTGGAGTCCCATAGTTCCGTTGAATCCAATAAAAGTTCTTGAAATGGAGAGGAGCAGGGAAAGTTGAATATCACATATGTGCCTTCTGTACCATCAAAGCAAATTGGACTGTCTAGTACTTCTCGCGAATTGGGATAGCACAGGCTGTTTGGCATAAAAGTTACCGGAAACGGCCAGGGGCGTTTGGGACTAAAGAGGGATCATTTCGCAAGGGGCATTGGCCGTGAGAAGGTAGTTGACGACTTCACAGCCTAGGTTAGACAATTGCGGAAGCCGAGTACATTCTGCTTGTAACGAGTACCGCATTCATCGCTGACACCAAACCTTAATTTGCCAGACACCATAAGTCCGCAAGTTTTGATCACTCGTTGGGCACAGCTTTATGGCGATTTCTGCTGTCTTGCACTTTTCTTGGCGAAGCTTTCTCGTTTTAATTATCCGCTCAAGCTTTCGCTGCGCATCGGAGCCCTTCTGCTGGAGGTCCTCTTCCTCTCGCTGGCACATGGCCAAATCCTCGGCACATTCCGACGATTTGAGTAATAAGTGCTTCTTTTTTGAACAGAATCCCTCTCATCCTTCTCAAATTGCCGACTAGTTTCCTGAAGCTCGGTCTCGGACCTCTGACAGTTGCGCAGCTCGGTTCGAAGGGCCTGCTGCGATGTATCCCACTTTCGCAGTGCCAGCCTGAGCGATGACAGCTGGCAGAGAGATTATGGCCTGAATAAAAGTCGAAAAAGCATTTCGAAGATTGATTCCTATCGAAATTTTATTTCTGCTTCCTTTAAGTAGAGATTTTCTACAGAGCAGCCCACGGCTATCCTGAGTTAGCCTAATTGGTCGTACGAATACCTAACAACAACCTCACTATGATCACATATTTCATCCAGGACGATAAGGTTTGTAACCAAAGATAATAACAACCAGTTTATAATACCAACAATGTATATGGAGGGATTCTAGTCTGCCGACTGGGCCTTTTGCTGCGAAATCCTTCCTGCAAAAATCTATCTGCGTTCTCCCCATTGAACAGCCGCCCATGAGAACGCCCCATTAACCAGGAAAGCACCAAGTGCCTGAACCATATACTTCTGTGCCTGTAAGACATGATAATATGCCGCAAGGCACAAGAGTGCTACCAAAGAGACGTGACCGTAGTAGAAAGAACGTCTCCGCTCTTGCATCGAGCCCGCAGCACTCCGTCCTTGATTTCCGGTTTTTGATGCTGCGCCGCGAGGACGCACGTAGAAGACGAGAGAGATCACCATGCTTATCGCGAAAAGACCGCATTGCACATCGAGATCACGCACTCGCTTGTTCAACAGCGAGCCGAATTCTGGGTGGTTTGTTTGGATGAAGAATGATAGGTATAGTGTGGCGTGGCCCACGAGTAAAGGCGAGATGACCATCCGTCCGAACAAACGGTGGTAGGGTGTCACTGTTGCCTGAGGAATGGAGGTCACGAATGAAAAGATTGACGAAGCTGTTGGCTTCGAGGTTGATATATACGCTGCTGGAGACATCAGGACTTGAAGGGGGATCTGCGAGAGCGCAACGTGGCCCAAGGCCTTTGTAAGGTGCAAATAGTCTGTGTATTCGAATCAGTAAATGGTTCTTCATGACTTATCAAAAACAAGGCTAATTGGGGACATACCTTCACCACTGTTCCAAACGGAAAGACTGAACAGCCACAAGAGCCACAGCCCGCAGAGTGCATATTGCCGGCGAGTCTCAAGCCATCCAGCAGTAATTGAACGATCCCACCATGAAGCAGGCCCACGGCGCTGTTTGGAGCTAACCTCAATAGTAGTGACTGATCTAGCCCAGCTTTGATAGACACGAAGCACGATGATCACGCCAATGATCGACCATTGCGCGTAGGAACCCCTAAGGTCAAGAAGCTCCCGACGTAGAAGCTTTTCCTCTTCAGAGGGGGTGACAAAGTGCCAAGGCCAGGAAATCTCCATGATGCAAAGAAAGATATCGAGCAATTGTCCAGCGCTATTGCTGCTGAAAGAGACAGGACTTGAAAGATGCCGGATATCGAGGGTGGAGCTATCGCCAAGCGGACGATTGTCGGTAACTTCGTCTATCCAAATGCCGTTAAAGCGACATCAACAACGGTATTTCTTCACAAGATGCTGGTGATAAATACGACTGCTGGTAATTATGTGCTGAAAGAGTAGATAATCAGTTAACTAGTTAACTAGGTGTCATCTGCTTACGTGTCCAGAGATTCCAGGAGGGCTGCCCTGGACGCGCTGACAAATGACTTGATCTTATTCGCCTGCCTCGGTCCTTCAGGGACGCTCAAAAGGACTGACGAGTAATTGAAAATCTTAAATTGAAACCTCTAGATCATTCTCAAACCCAGTCAATTGAGCTTTATTTCTACTTTAATATATACCGACAAGCTTCCATTAAGTGAAGCCCGGATGGCCTCTCAGCCCTGCACAACTTCCAAGGCCAATCATTTCCCATAGTCCCAACCAGACACCCCACCTCCACTTAAGTATACAGTCAGTTATAATAGGGCGACTTGTAATGAAAACTCCCAGAATGATCTAGAGCCAGGCGTTTTTACGATCGTGCTGCATGTTCAAGGAGTAAAATCATTCAAACTGGCGTGAGTGCTTTTTATGATTACCTCAAGCGGGAATAGACGATTCGGTTATGCATGGAGTAAAGAAAAGACCTCTACATTAAAAACGCCATCAAGACATCTCAACCCAAATCTGGCTATTCTCTAAACTGACAGAATACCCCTTTCGCTCATTCCCAAGCTATTCCGCAGGCGCTCTGTCGTCGTTTGTTTCGCCGATCTGGGAGAGGCGATCTGAAAAGAGAGTAGTCTCATGCGGTGTTACCGGCACCAAGTCATCCGACAACTGATCTTAAGGGGACGTTTGCATGGACTCCTCCTGATTGCCCCCGGCAGTGGTTGCGAAATAGCGGACATCAACATCATCATCCTCCTGCAGCTTCTCCAGGCTGGGCAGAACTTTTTGCTGGATCAACTCTTGCGCCTTAGGCGAAGGGGTAATAGTCTCCTCAGACTTCTCAACCTCGACCAGAGTCTTATCCTCCGGCAGGCGGCGCAGGGTGTCAATCAGGACGGCATAGGACTTGGCGACATTGAAGCGAATGTTAGGGATCTCGTCTGCCACAAGTCGATCCAGGATAGGGAGGAGGGCGCTCTCGATGATATCGAGTGTGACGACGGGGGCAAGGGTCTGGGAACATCAGTACATGAACGAAATGAGACGAGTAACAGACTGAAGACTCACAGAAACGGCGAAGCATGTAGTCATGCGGTAAAGGTAGTTGGGGTGCTGGCCCATAGCCATCACCTTGGGGATAATGGACTCCTTGGACCATTCCACACCGAATACCTCGGTAAGCTTCTTCAAATTCTGAGTGGCAGCCTCTCGGATGGAGAAGACGGTGTCTCCAAGCCATCCCATGCAAAGATCACTCAATTGCTCATCAAAGAACTTGACTCCTAGTTGGCTAGCGAGGAGGGGGATGTATTCGATGATAGCAAGGCGCACGCGCCACTGCTTGTCCTCGGCCAGCTGGACAATCGCAGGAAGGAGAGATTGAGAGAGGAGGTCGATGCCAATAACTATGGAAACAAATTAGACGGATCCGGAAACGTGGCGAAGAAAACCCTTCCAAAACATACCCTTGTTGACCTGCTCGAGCTTGGAAATGATGTGCAGGCGAACGTCGGGGAAGTCATCCTTAAGCATCTGGAGGAACATGGGAAGCAAATGGGCAATAGTCCTATCAGTGAAACAGATTAGTGACTGACGGTCTCCAGAAACAAGGGAGATATGATACTTACTCTTCCTTCCCAAGAATAGGCGCCAGACCGCTGATCTGAGTGCCGAGGGCAGCACGAACATGCTGGGACTGATCAGAAACCAGGTCTTCCACACTAGTCATGATCTCATTAAGCAGCGTATCACGGTCAATCAAGCTGCAGAATCCTAGTCATGATGTTAGTTTATATCTTGACGTCATAGTCAAAGGACATAGGAATATACCAGGAATCTGGCCAGCAATTGCAGTGCGGACTTCAGCCTCGGTATCCTTCAAAAGCTTGACAAATGCAGGCACCATATCACGTGTAACAACCTCCTCGTGCACAGCCTTGGCAATCTATTATGGGCGAGTCGGAGTCAGTCTTGGCTGTGTCTTGTGTGTACGTTTGGGACCAAAGGGGAGTGATATCCTGACCTTCTCGTATCTATCAGCAACCATGTAGCGAACCCGCCAGCTCTTATCCTCAAAGAGATTGCGCAGCGACGTCAAAAGTACGCCATGACTGGGCTGCTGCTCTTTGGGAATCTCCTCTGCGATCGCGATCAAGATGTCCACAGTCAACAGACGCACGCTGTCCTGGTCATCGCTGGCCAAGTATTGGAAGAGGGGTATCATTTCATCGATAATCACGTCAGTCTGCATCTCCTTCACGAACTTTGCCAGGTTGTTGGCGGCTTGACGGCGGACCATTGGGGTTTCATCGTGTACGAGGGCTCCGAAATGCTGTCGGAGGCTCTGCTGCAGCGCCGGCGCTTTTCGGTATGGTGAGCAGTATAGACCTGTTGCGGAGACCTTGGAAGTGAACCAGTCGGCCTTGGAGAGGTGGAGAACCAGCGGGACGAAATGCTCTTCAACTTGACCTTCTGACAGCTGATCGCAGACCTTGTTGAGCGACTCTACAGCCTAATTTGTAACGGTCAGCAATGCTGCTCTCCCAGATCCTGTATACGACCTAACCAACCTTCTCCCGGACTAGAGGCTCCTCGATCGCCGCCAGGTTCTCCAGCGGTGACAGAAGCACGTGCGCGTGTTCTGGCCCCCCAACATACTCTGTAAAGTTACCCAGCTCCTCGCTCAGCGCGGTCAAAACTTCGTCTTCGTCCTCAACGGAATCTAGTGATAGAATATATTAGGCGCATGTCGGTGACCGGAATGATGGTGGGAGATCCGAAGGGAGACAAACCGTCCAGGAATGGGATAAGCTCGTCCCGGGTCCTCTCGGGGCCTAGAGCCAGGGCGATCGTGGATAGACGACGGATGGCATTCAGTCTGAGGAGTACATCATCGTGCTACGACATTGAGGTGTGAGCTTGGGCCAGCATGTTCCCCCTCCACTGGTGGAGGGGAAGGGAAAGATGAACGGAACACCCGCATACCTTCAACTCGTCGATGAGTACCGCGATGGGGTAGAGCTCATCGTTCTCGTTCTGACCCTCCATCGCGTATGTGCGGTTTATGTATTAAAATAGAACAAGAGAAGAGGCGGAACTGGGAGGTCGGGGGTGGTCGATCCCAGTGCTGAGGAAGGGTTGATATCGGGGTGGTGCTTGGTAGAGCCACCCAAGAGAAAGAAAATTATCGGTGGTAGGGAGAGGATCACAGCTTCATGAGCTTCGATGACGAATATAAGAGCTGGGCCCGTGGACGGGTTAGTTTCAAGTTGGAGGGCGTGATGGGGGGGGGAGGTTTAAATGGGAAGGGGAAGGTCGATGAGGTTTCGTGGGGTTTTGGGCCGCCGGACTGTCCACCTTCGCGCAAAAGCAAGAAGCATACCTCGGAACAATTGGGGAGATCAATGCTCCCAAAAGAAGATAACACGGACGGGGATGTTGGTGTGGAGGTCAAAGGGTGTCTTGGAGTCAGAGAAATCAATTGTGTCTTGAATGATGGCGGCGAGCGATCACTCTCAGCTTTTACCACCACAACAGCTGCGACTGAGTGTAAATTACATACCGCGTGGCTTGCTCGGACAGGTCATGGGTGGTCACCAAAAGTGTCGGCCAAACTGGGTGAACCTCTGGTAAAGTTGGCAGCGCAGGGGCCATCGTGACAATACGGTACCAGGCGTCATAAAAGAGGGGGACCAGCGTGGCGGTGTGTGGCTGAGGAGGCAGAATTTCCAGAAGTCCGATCGGAGTCATAACGATTATCATCTTGTTGCTTTGCGCTTTCTCCTCCGCTTGTGTGGTATTTTTGGTACGTAAAGTTCCTCTTCTCTAGGAGTTTCCAGATGGACATCTTTTCCTCTTCGGGCGCCTGCTAACAATATCTTTTTCTCGCTATTCCAGAATTTCATCGCATTGCGAATCCCCCCGCCATGCCCACTATCTCGGTCGACAAGGCCGCCCTCTTCAAGGAGCTGGGCCGGGAGTACGTACACCGCCGGGGATATGGGAATACAGTGTGCATTTCTAATAATTTCTGTGCGCAACTATAGGTACACTACGGAGGAATTCGACGAGCTGTGCTTCGAATTCGGTAGGTCTCGGCTGCACGAGAGACTCCGCGGGGCAACGTAGGCTAACATTGTTGAACAGGAATTGAGCTTGACGAAGATGTAACCGATCTTTCAACATAACCCAACATGGAAGAGTGCTGGCTAAAAACCACAGACCACAGACCAGGACCGTCCGATCGTCGATGGCGTGCAGGAGCCCCCGCAGCTCAAGATCGAAATCCCCGCCAACCGGTATGCCTGATGCGAGCCCAGAAAAATACATTGGGAAAGTTTGTGGGCTGAGACAGATAACAGATATGACTTGCTGTGCTTCGAGGGTATTGCTTTGATGCTCAATATCTTCTTGAAACGCAAGGCTCTTCCCGACTACAAGTTGGTGCCACCCGCCAACGGCCAGCTTGAGCAGATCATTGTGAAGGAAGACGTGGGTAGACACTGAAAAAATTGTGCATGGAGTACCCGCTGAACCATATGAGCAGACTACGAAGATCAGACCCTACGTGTCAGGTGCCATTCTCCGAGGTGTCAAGTTCGACAAAGCTCGCTATGAGTCTTTCATTGCTCTGCAAGACAAGCTTCACCAAAACCTGGCCCGCCAACGGACTCTGGTCTCCATTGGTACCCACGATTTGGATACCGTCAAGGGACCTTTCACCTACGAGGCCCTACCTCCCAAGGACATTAAGTTTGCCCCTCTGAACCAAACTCAGGAGATGAACGGCGAGGAATTGATGACTTTCTACGAGGTATGTAGATCAGATGGCATTCTAATCACTACGGCATCATCATATATTGACAATTGAACAACAGAAGCACCAACAATTGGGCAAGTACTTGCACATTATTCGCGACTCTCCCGTTTACCCAGTGATCTATGACTCGCAGCGCACTGTCTGCTCTCTGCCCCCTATTATCAACGGTGATCGCTCTAAGATCTCCCTGAACACCACCAACGTCTTCATTGAGATCACTGCTCTTGACCGCACAAAGCTCGAAATTGTGAACCGCATGATGGTCACCATGTTCTCCCAATACACCTCCGAACCGTTCACGTAAGTGGTCTTTCCATACTGGCTTCATGGTCTTTGTGTACTTATCTTCATACAGCATCGAGCCCGTTCAGATTGTGTCAGAGCACAACGGTCAGACTCGGGTCACTCCCGACATCGCTCCTCGCACCACCACCGCCGAGGTGTCTTACATCAACCAATGCTGTGGCTTGGATCTTACCTCTGCCGAGATCAGCAACCTCCTGACCAAGATGGCGTACCGTGCCAAGCCATCGACGAACAATACCGATACCATTGACGTTGAGATTCCCCCGACTCGCGCCGATGTGCTTCACCAGTGCGATATCATGGAGGATGTCGCCATCGCTTACGGCTTCAATAACCTCCCCCGCTCGTTCCCCAGCAAATCCGGCACTGTTGCCCAGCCCCTCCCCATCAACAAGCTCTCCGACATTGTCCGTGTCGAGACTGCTATGGCCGGCTGGTCTGAGGTCCTGCCTCTGATTCTGTGCTCGCACGACGAGAACTTTGCCTGGTTGAACCGCAAGGACGATGGAAACACCGCCGTCAAGCTTGCTAACCCCAAGACCACCGAGTTCCAGGTAGTCCGCACCAGCTTGCTCCCTGGTCTGTTGAAGACCATCCGTGAGAACAAGGCCCACAGTGTGCCAATGAAGATCTTCGAAGTTAGCGACGTTGCTTTCAAGGACTTGTCCCTGGAGCGCAAGAGTCGCAACGAGCGTCACTTTGCTGCCGCCTTCTACGGCAAGAGCAGTGGTTTCGAGGTTGTCCACGGTCTGCTCGACCGTGTGATGTCTATGCTGAAGAGCGCTTTCATCATTGCCGAGGAGGGCCTTGATAATCCCGCTATCGGTGATTCGCAATACTACATTCAGGAGCTGGATGGTGCGTGTCATTCCCTCCTTCTCACTCTAATTGCAATCTAACAGAAAACTGACTCGCTATTGTTAGACCCCACCTACTTCCCCGGCCACAGTGCCTCCATTCACCTGCGTGTCGGTGGCAAGGACCACGTTATTGGCTCTTTCGGTATCCTCCACCCCACCGTGCTGGGCAAGTACGAGCTCAAGTACCCTGTCAGCACTCTGGAGATCAACATCGAGCCTTTCCTGTAGACTGTTTAGATGTGGATTTGAGTAATTCCATGCTTTGTGATGCAGATAGATGATGACATGATGTGGAGCGCTCTATTGTTATAAGCAAGATGTTCCAACGCTGCGGAGCCAAAAGCAATAAAAATAAAGTTTCCAGTATTCAGTATATAGATCGAGTTATTGAAAATAGAGTAAAGCGTTCTGGCGATGCATCCAAGAGGAACATGGGCGGTACAGTTTGTTGTCGAAACTTCCCGGGATGCTCGAGATCTACTAGGTTTGTACCTCGAATTGACTGACCTGGTATACCTGCGCAACTCAATTTGTCCCCCTGGTTTATTCTAAATCGTTGAGTGTCACCCGTGGGTACTAGGGGAGTATCTGGTTGGGTGTCGAGATACCCAGGTCCTAACCCTAGGTTCGACATAGATATGTTTCAACAGGTTTTACCTACAATTTATGTGACCTTGGTACCTACCTATGGTCTAGACTCGACCAGGGTGACGATTGAATATCGAAAACACCGTCTGTCATATGATACCTAGTCTCGACAACACAGACTACGTTACCCTAGAAAGGAAGATTAGGGTCATTATCAAATTTTTCTCATGGGAATTATCCTCGACTGTAGATCTTTGTACATCAACGTCCATTCCTTCATGAAACTATTCCCGTAACCAAAAGATCAGAGGACCAGTAATGAAAGCGCGAACTAGACATCATTCGTCGAAAATTGCAAGCAGAGAAACCAGGAGATTTTTTGAAGTCTTCATGTAATTTTGATTGCGTCAGGTAGAGAGTATAGTGAGGTTATGACAGGAAGCGAAGATAAAGGGAAGGGCCGGGCTTGAAAAAACAAGTTTACTCCTGAGTGTAACCCTCGGCAGCACCCTCGGTGTTCGCGGCCTGCTCCTCGGCCAGACGCTGCTGCTCGGCAGCCTGCTGGGCGGCCAGAGCCTTGGCGCCGTAGTCCTGGGACATGGGCTGCAGGACGGGCTGCTCCTCCTTGGGCTCGATGATGGTGACGGAGTCGGGGAGGGTCTTCTGGGGGCCGGACTTGCCCTCGGGGTCGGAGCCGCGCATGATCTTAACCTTGATACCAAGGACACCCTGGCGGAGAAGGACGTGGCGGGTAGCGGAGTCAATGAACTCCTTGGCGGGCTGACCGGAGTGGATCATGAAACCGTCCTGAAAGATGAACGTGGTTAGCGACGTTGTCCCGGATGTAATATTTCATCACAGAATATTTCATCATAGATACGGGATACCGTGCGACGGTTCGAGAGGATAAAGAAGACCATCGTCTGTTCCCCAAGTACCGGCGCACGGCATTTCCCTTTGTACCATCCTATTCTAACGGTCGATTATCAACGTACAGTGAACTTCATGGACTTGGCACGGGCGGCACGGAGCTTGCCGGAGACGACAACCTCGCAACCCTTGGCACCGCTCTCCATGATGAAGCGGAGAACACCGTAGCAGGCACGGCGAACGGCAAGACCGTTCAGGAGCTTGTAGCGGAGGGACTCGCACTGAGCGACAGCGGACAGACCGCGGTTCTGGACCTTGGCGGCATAGAGGGAGACGGAGTTCTCGGGGAACTTGAAGCGCTTCTGGATGAGCGAGGTGAGCTCGCGGATGCGGCGACCCTGCTCGCCAAGGACCTCCTGGGTGTGGGTGGCACGGATGACTGTAGAAAGTGAAGACATCCGTTAGCATCGAATCCTCCCGACAGATGTTGACCGCATAATTTCCGCCCAATAACGATATTGATCTCCCATTTCCTCACTATTTTTCCAGCTCTTGCAGATCCAATCCAATTCAAACTTATGCGATTCAACGGAAAAAGAAAAATTTCGAGAGATGCGACGTACTGATGTCGGTGACGGTAGGAGTGACACGGACTTCAACACCGGAGTAGCCCTCCTCAGCGAGCTCGCGCTGGAAGAACTCGTTGAGCTCGGCGTAGAAAACACCGTCGGCGACGAACTTGCGACGCTTGGAAATAGCTCCCTGGACAGCGGCCATTTTGACGTTCCTGGTGGGTGGAATTGGGGGGGGGTTGTCGACGGAGGAGGGCGAGGTCGAAGTCGAGAGGGTTAGTCGTTGTGAGATTCTCTGATTAGTGGGGATTTTTTGGGCGAGGGCTTCGATTTCCCGTTTGGGCTAGGGCTCAACCCTCGCTTGCCCTGTTGGACTGAACGGGAGCTATTCCCCATTGGGACTGGGGTTGAGACTTGTTTCTCAGGCAGTAAGGCCGCAAGGCATCTTCAGGTTGTAAAGGCCTATTATTAAGGTTACAGGGCCATGAAGGACGTACATCCATCCATGCATCAGTACATTTGACATTAATGAAATCTCTCCAAAGCAGATTCTTAGGTAAATACGCTGAGCTTAAACATATCAAGACCCTTATA